AGTAACCCAATTATAACTGTAGCAGAACTATATATATCATCTCCTATTATGTAGCTAAAGAATGCCCAGCACCGACTTCACACAGACGGATACATGACTCACTTCATTATTTGTCTCTCCCAATGCTCGACCCAGTCACACCACTCCTTCTTATATTACCCCAAACATGGATGGCTAGAATTTGTCTTCAAATAAATTTTGCATGCTGCGAATTTGGAATGCCACCCCCTTATTCCCCAAATTTTCCAAGATTGGCCTTTCCAGTTGGAAAAGTTGGTTCCTCAATGTTTAAGCGATCCTTTTCTTTCCTTTTTCCCCATGTTGGTTACTTTGGAAAAGGCAAAATTGTATATAGGCTTTGGGGGGTTTGGGGGGGGGGAGGTAGGCTGGGCATCTGATTTTTTTCGCCATGGACATGGGGATGTATAAATTGTTGTTGCTAAATTATGATCTCCCAATGTGATTTTTCTATCCTTTGAAATTTCAGTAAGTTCAGTGATAATTCTGCTTTCTACATAATTCAGAGCCTTAATGGAAGTAGTATGTCGATAAATGTTCCATTTTTCTAAGTAGTAGTAACGCCATGAAGGAACACGACGTTGTCGTATTTGTCGTACATTGTAACATCGCGTGTCATGTAGTAAAAGTTGTTCCCGCATCCGATCCGGACATTGGGGATTGCCTTGTTAGTGAGACAACTTCCTGGACCTTCGGCATATTGTGGTAGGGTGATCAGTTCCTTTCCACGCCGCCTTTACTTCCCCCACTCGAAGTCAGGTACCCATTACTGCTGGGTGGGCAGGAGGGGGGCGAAAAATATCCGTGTCCGAACCGAGGCTCGAACCCGGACTTTCATGTAGTATAAACACTTTTATCCTGCAATAACGTTGGTACAACCCATGAGAATATTTTTTTCCGTCTAAGTTTAGGACGCTTTCAATAAGAATAATGTCGCGATTTGAAAAAAATGGCGGACTTGCTTAAAAAGGCGATATTGCCTGAGCAGTAAACCTTTTAAAAATCTGTAGAATCCACCCACTTGGATTTGTTTACTAGTATTTATTAAGACATTTTCTAGAATACAGCTATCAGGTGTTTAGAAGATTGTTGATCTGTTAAGACAAATTGATACGAGACATTGTACAAAAGTTGGAGTACTTACAATTGATAGATGAGATATTTGACAATAAGCTGTGCCACGAATTTTTGACGCATTATAGTCATATTTCGTGAACGGCGTCTCGGCTACCCATATTATTATGTCTGTCTCACAGAGAGTGGGCACACTGGATGGGCGTAAAAGGTCAAATATGTTCAGAATAGAGGGAAAGATAGTATAGAATTTTGCACCCTGTGTTCACCCCATTATTACTGTCTGTATTTGTGTGGCATTGTGGTGAAATCAGGCAGCCATCAAAGTACTAAAAATCGAAGAAATTGACATATGAGATATTCCGGGAATTAGGAAAATTTTATCGGTATTTAATTAAAACGTTTTGTCTGAATATCTTTTAAGTTAATTTCAAATCAATTATTGTATCCCCCCCCCACCTGGGCAGTGCCACTAACTGACTGTTGTGTCTTTAGGCCATTCCCAAAGGGGGGGACATTGACATGTTCTTATGCACAATAGAATTGTAAATGCTTCGATTCATCAATGTCGTGCTTACAATCTTCAGGAACAACATAGAGGGAACTGCTGATCTTTCTTTCCTTATCCTCACTATCATAATTTTTTCCTCCACTTCTTTTATATGTTTGTCACTCTCTTGTGAACTGCTATATCTAGGGTGCCTTGATAGTCGAAGCAGACTTTGTGCTGTTGATGCTAGAGAGATGAGCAGAGAAAGCCTGATTCCCCATTTGGACTTCTCTGTTGACATCCACCCCTTGGCATTTATACGGCCTTATGCTGTTGCGAGCGCTGTAAAACCTTACTAAAACTAAAACGAAATTATTCTATAAACTACTAATTTTATTGGAAAACGTTGACCAAAGGCAAAATTATTGTTTGCAGGCAAGTCATCAAACTTTGGCAAACATTTTTTCGATAATTTTACATCTGACACGAGGCAAATCCAATTTCTTCACTGGCAAAACAGCTCGACCTACTTTATGGTAGATAAATTTGTTTTAATTGAAAGAAAGCCAAAATGTACAGGCTTAGAGATTATACCAATAACTCTATAAGCCCATCTTATGACGAATGCCTGATTCCAATACAATACATCCATGCCCATTTCTTTTTGAGTACCAAATCTTAATCATCGATATGGTCCCTTTGAGGATCTTTATGCATAACAAGCTGTCAAAATCAAAAGGTATTAAAAAAAATAAAATGCTCCTCTTTCAATTATTGACAACTTTCAAAGCATAGATAGATAGATAGATAGATAGATAGATAGATAGATAGATAGATAGATAGATAGATAGATAGATAGATAGATAGATAGATAGATAGATAGATA